AGAGAGAGAGAACACAAGCAGTGGGAGTGTGGGCAAGAGAGAGAGAAGCAGACTCCCTTTTGAGCAGGGAGCCTGATGCAGGCCTCCATCCCAGAATCCTGGGATCTTGACCCAAGCCAAAGGCAGACGCCTAGTGACTGAGCCACCTAAGCACCCCTTAAAAAGCCATTTCTGAGCCCATTTTTCTTTGCCTTCCCCTACTCTAGACAAAAATATTCACATTCCCATAATCTCTTGCACATAACGGTATCCTAGTTCTCAGCTATTGCTAGTGGTTTAAAAGTGAAATTGGGGCATCACACGTAAGGGAATTTTTTTCTTTTTTTTTTAGCGTCTTATTTTTTCCTTTTTATTTTTTTTAAAGATTTTTATTTATTTGACAGACAGAGATCACAAGTAGGCAGAGAGATGGGGCAGGGGGAAGCAGGCTCCCTGCTGAGCAGAGAGCCCAATGTGGGGCTTGATCCCAAGACCCTGAGATCATGACCTGAGCTGAGGGCAGAGGCTTTAACCCACTGAGCCACCCAGGCACCCTTTCTCTTTTCCTTTTTAAATTGAAGTATAGTTGATACACAATGTTAAATTAGTTTCAGGTGTACAACATAGTGATTTAACAGCTCTATGCATTAGGCTTTACTGATCACAGGTGTAATTACCATCTCTCACCACACAATGCTATTACAAAACCATATTCCACTATATTCCTTATGCTGTACCTTTCATCCACCTGAATGACACATTCCATAACTGGAAGCCTGTATCTCCCACTCCCCACTCTTCTTTATCCGTTCTGCTCATCCCCCTATCCCTTCCCTCTGGCAAACACCAGTTTGTTCCTTGTATTTGTGGGTCTCTTCTTGTTTCTGGGGTTTTTTTTGTTTGTTTATTCAGGGTTGGAGTTTTTTTTAGATTTTACATGTAAGTGAAATCATATGGTATTTTTCTCTCTCTGTCTTATTTCACTTAGCTTAATACCCTTAGGTCCATCCACTTTGTTGCAAATGGTGGTATCTCGTTCTTTTTTATGGCCGAATAATATTCTACTGTATATTTGTATCCTATCTTCTTTGTCCATTCAGCTATTGGTGGACCCTTAGGTTGCTTCCATAACCTTGTCTATTATAAATAATGCTGTAGTAAACATAGAGGTGCATGTATCTTTTTGAAATAGTGTTTTTGTTTTCTTTGGGTAAATAACCAATGTGTAATTACTGGATTGTATGGTATTCCCTTTTTTAAAGATTTTATTTATTTGAGAGGGAGAGAGAGAGAGAGTATGTGTGTGTGTGTGTGTGTGTGTGTGTGTGTGTGTGTGTGCGCGCGCGCATGCGCGCGCGCAGTGTTGGGGGAGGGGCAGAGGAAGAGGGAGATGCAGACTCCCCATTGAGTGCAGAGCCTCATGCAAGGCTTGACCCAGGTCCCTGACATCATGACCTGAGCTGAAGTCAGACACTTAACTGACTGAGCCACCCAAGTGCCCCTGTATGGTATTTCTATTTTTAATTTTTTGAGGAGACACTGTACTGTTGTCCACAGTGGTTGCACCAAGTTACATTTCTACCAGTAGTGCAGGAAAATTCCTTTTCTCCACATCCTTGCCAACACTTGCTATTTCTTGTCTTTTCGATACCAACCATTCTGAGGTATAAGGTGATATCTCATTGTGGTTTTGGTTTGCATTTCTCTAATGATTGGTGATGTCAAGCATCTTTTCATGTGTGTATTGGACATCTCTATGTCTTCTTTGAAAAGATGTCGAAGTCCTCTGCCCATTTTTTTTTAAAGATTTTACTTATTTATTTGACAGAGATCACAAGCAGGCAGAGAGGCAGGCAGAGAGAGAGGAGGAAACAGGCTCCCTGCTGAGCAGAGAGCCTGATGAGGGGCTCAATCCCAGGACCCTGAGATCATGACCTGAGCCGGAGGCAGAGGCTTTAACCCACTGAGCCATGCAGGCGCCCCACCTCTGCCCATTTTTAAATTGGATTATTTGGTTTTTGGTGTTGAGTTGTATGGGGTTTTTTTGAGAGATAGAAAGAGAGCAAGAGCCTGACCCAGGGCTCCATCTCACAATCCTGAAATCACGACCTGAGCTGAAACCTAGAGTCAGAAGCTTAACCAACTGAGCCACCCAGGTGCCCTGAGTTGTGTTAAGTTCTTTAGGTATTTTGAATATTAACTCCTTATCGGTTGTGTCATTTGCAAATATCTTCTCCCATTTAGTAGGTTGCCTTTTTTGTTGTTAATGATGGTCTCCTTTGCTGTGCAAAAGCTTTTAATTTGGGTATAATTAAGGCAAATATTTTTCAAAGGGCTAGTCTGAGGTGGCTTGTTCCTGGGGTCTTTTTGGCCATTTCCTTTTTCATAACCAGCCTGGATATTGGAGAATAAGCCTTGAGTTGAAGCAGCCAGCTTGCAACCCTGAGATGTCTACTCTGATCTACTGTGGCTGACTTTGTATCTTTATTCAGTCATTTTTCAATTTGGCTAATACAAACATATACAAACAACTGAACTTGGAAAGGAATATTCCTGGCTAGTAGCACCCCAAAAGTTGAGTTGTGAAGAATAGAATGAGAAGGTGAACTGATAAGCTACTCTTTAAACCTACAGGAGTGGTGTGCTGACAAAATGACTATGATGTTTATGAAGTAACCCAGAACTGATTTCCTTCTCAGTCAGGGAAGTAGCAGGGTTAAAAAAATTTTTTTAAAGATTTTATTTATTTATTTATTTGACAGATCACAAGTAGGCAGAGAGGCAGGCAGAGAGAGAGGGGGGAAGCAGGTTCCTACTGAGCTCGATCAGTGGGGCTCGATCCCAGGACCCTGAAATCATGACCTGAGCCGAAGGCAGAGGCTTAACCCACTGAGCCACCCAGGTGACCCTAGATCCTTTCTTTATCTAATATTTGGGTATTTTATTCATAATGTATTATTTTCATAAAGTTTTAATTTTTTTTAGAATATTGCATTAAACAGTATCTATCTTTAATACCAAGTTTTGGGGAGACCCATTAATTTTGATTCTGAAACACTAACCTTACCCTAGTCCTGGTCCTATTGATTGTTTCCAACTTGCAAGTTCAAGTGGCCATTGCAGTACTAGTGATGCCATCACAACTGGAATCTGAGCTCCAAAATCTGAATCAAGTCTCCCTCCATTCTGAATATGGGATAGCGGCAGCAACAGGAGAAAAATACAAAGGTATCCCATGAGATCCAATGAACTGGAGTCCTGCAGAGTGGGAAGAGAAAAGCACCTTTATGGCCATAATTAACCAGGCAGAATGTTTAAGTTTTTCTTCCAGGTGGCATGTAGCTGTGTGAAAAAATGTGATATTAATTAGGTATATTAAATTTACTAAGAATGTTGTTGAGTGTTTTGCATTTGTGTTCATGAGGGATATTGTTCTATACATTTTTTTCATGTTCTACCCTTAGCAGGTTTAGTTTCAGGATTATACTGGCCTCATAGCATGATTTGGCAATTATTTCCTCCTTTTTTTAATGAGAGAATTTGTGTAAGATTTTTATTATTTCCTCTTTATGTATTTGATAGAATTTACCACAGACGACATCTGTAGCTAACATTTTCTTTGTGGAAAAATTTGAATTGCAAAAGAAATTGCTTAAGTAGATATCCTACAATTCTAGTTTTCTGTTTCTTCTTGTGTCGGTAACATGTTTTTTTCAACAATTTGTCCATTTTATCTAAGATGTTAAATGTATTGACATGAAGTTATTGATAATACTCCTTTTTCATCTTCTTAATATATTTAGGATCAATAGTGATGTACCTCTTTCTTTCTGGGTATTGGTAAAATATATTTTCTCTCCTTTTGTCTTTATCAGTATTGCTTTATCAGTATCAATTTTATTAATCTTTAAAAAAAATCTTTGTCATCTTCTATTTCTGTTTTGTTTCATTGATTTCCACTCTTATATTTTAATTTCTTTTTCTATACCTACTTTATTTTTTTAAGATTTTATTTATTTATCATTTGAGAGAGAGAATGAGAGAGACAGAGCATGAGAGAGGGGGAGGGTCAGAGGGAGAAGCAGACTTACCGCAGAGCAGGGAGCCCGATGCGGGCCTCGATCCTGAGACTCCAGGATCATGACCTGAGCCAAAGGCAGTCACTCACCCTACTGAGCCACACTACTGAGCCACCCAGGTGACCCATCTATACCTACTTTAGATTTAGTTTTCTCTTTTTCTGTTTCTCTGAAGGTTTGGATCACTGACACTAGACGTTTTTGTATAGATTAAAATATATAAATATATAAATTAAAGCTATACATTTCTCTCTATGCATTACTCAAGCTATATTTCATGAATTTTGATAAATGGTGGGGTTTTTTTTACCATTGAGTTTGAATTTACTTATAATTTCCCTGTTGATTTATTTGATCTATTGGTTAACTAGAAGTATGTTGCTGCATTTCCAAATATCCAGAGATAACATTTTCACATTCAGAATAACTCTGTTTTGGTCTAAGAACATAACTCTGTATGATTTCAATCCTTTAAAATTTATTGGGTTTTGTTGTTATCCAACATATGTTTGATCTTTATGAGTTGCTCATGTGTACTTGAAATAAATGTATGTAAAGTATTCTATAAATATCAATTAAACCAAGTTGCTTGATAATTTTAAGTTTTATTTATTCTTACCATTTTTTCCTACTTGTTCTATCAATTACTGAGATAAAATGTTAAATTCTTAAATTATGATCGTGAATTCGTCTTTCTCTCCCTTCAGGTGTAGCACTTTTTTTTTTAAGATTTTATTTATTTATATGACAGACAGAGATCACAAGTAGGCAGAGAGGCAGGCAGAGAGAGAGGTGGAGGCAGGCTCCCTGCTGAGCAGAAAGCCCGATGCGGGGCTTGATCCCAGGACCCTGGGATCATGACCCAAGCCGAAGGCAGAGGCTTAACCCACTGAGCCACCCAGCCGCCCCAGGTGTAGCACTTTTTTAAACTTCATGTATTTTGAAGCTCTGTGATGTACACATAGGTAAGATTATTTTATCTTCTTGATGAATTGACAATAATTATTATGAAGCATTATGGAATATATTACTAGAGACATTCTCTAGTAATACTGTTAGTCTGATGATAAAACCACCCTATATTTCTTATGCTTAGGGTTCATTTAATATCTTTTTTCCTCCTTTAACTTTCTTATCCTGACTTTATATTTTAAATACATCTTATGTAAACTAAAGAGTTGGATTTTGTTTTTTACCCAGTTTTGTCATTTCTGCCATTTAATTGGAGAGTTTATTCCATTTATATTGAATATAATTATTTATATGATTGTCTTTATGGCAATTTAAAAAAATATTTTATTTTTAAGTAATCTCTACATCCAAAGAGGGGCTCAAACTCAGAGCTCCTATATCAAGAGTTATATGCTCCACCAACTGAGCCAGTCAGGTGCCCCTATTATAATTTTTTGGTACCATCTATTTTCATTCCTTTGTCTCTTGTTCACTGGATTTGTTTTTTTTTAAGATTTTATTTATTTATTTGACAAACAGAGATCACAGGTAGGCAGAGAGGCAGGCAGAGAGAGGGGGGAGAAGCAGTCTCCCTGCTGAGCAGAGAGCCTGATGCAGGGCTCGATCCCAGGAATCTGAGATCATGACCTGAGCCGAAGGCAGAGCCTTAACCCACTGAGCCACCCAGGCACCCCTGAATTTGGCTTTTGTTTGTTTTTGCTTAATTGTGTATTTTTTTGGTGCTCTACTTTTATACTAAATTGACTTTTTATGCATAACATTTTGGGGGATATTTCATCTAAGGCTAAGCATACACAGCCTTTATTAACACAGTCTACCTTAAATTAATATTATGTCACTTCACCAGCAATGTGGAAAAACTTCCTGTTAGGTAATCCTCCTCTTTTTCTGTCATGACACAGAAGATCAGCACAAGACATAGGAGAGGTATTTAAGAATTCCTATGGTGAAGAACCTCTATGAATAGAATCAAATTGGAAAATATTTGGAAAATATCTTAATATGTAATGGGTAGAAGATATTCCATACTAGAGAGAAATATAATGAAAACAATCAGTGTGAGAAAAACTTCAGCCAGATTTCAAATTTAAATGTGCATAAAAGAACTCATACTGAAGAGAAATGCTGTGAATTCAGCACATGTGAGAAAATAGTAATCTTTCATTTGTTAAAACACACATGGGAGCACACACTGACACAAACCCTATCAATCTAAGAAAAAGTAGAGAGCCCTTCAGCTGTTTTATGTATTGTAGGACTCACGTGAAAATTCACGTTAGAAAATAAAATACAAAATGTGGGAAAACCATTATTTGTTCTCCATTTATTGTTGTACATGTGATACTCATGGTTGAGATAAGCCTTATTTCATGTAATGTGAAAAATGTGGGAAAAAAACACTTCCATTTTTTTATCTTTTAGAAAAATGTAGAAAAAATCTCACTGATGAGAAATACTGTGATTGTGAAAAATGTGGAAAAGTCCTCAGTTGTCCCTCATCCTTTAGGCACATGTGAGAACTCATATTGAAAATATCTCCTTTGGCTGTTGAAGGGTATGAGAAGGTCTTTATTTCCTTTATATCCTTTACTATACATGTAAGATTCACATTGAGGTGAAGCCTTACAAATGTAAGAAATACAGGAAAACCTTCACTTATTCCCGAAAGCTTACTCTACAAGTGAGAAAACATATAAGAAAAGGATCTGTATACATATAAGAAATGTGGGAAAGCCTATAGGTTTCCCTCTACCTTTAATAACCACAAGCACTGGCCTTATAATGGTAAACAATGTGACAAATCCTTTCATTTTTCATATTTTACTATATATGTAATAATGCACATATATTCACAGAAACACTGAATATAAGGAATGCAGTAACTTCTGCCTTCTCAGCTCTTAGGTCATGAGAACTCATACTAGCGAGAAGTCATATTACTATCTGGAGAGTAGGAAAGTCTGAACTTGTATGTAATTCCTTCAAAAACTTGTGAAAATTCACATTGGAAAGAAAGCATACAAGTTTAAGAAATGTGGGAAAGTGTATTTCCTAACACTTCAGCGCTTATTTGAGAACATACACACTGAAGAGAAAATATATAAAGAATGTGAAAAATCTTTTGTGTCTTTCTCATTCCTTAGTCAGCTAGTGAGAACTCATACTGTGGTATAGACCTGTGAAGAATGGAAAATCCTTTAGCTTATACCTTCATGCTTTCAAAGATGGGAAAAGTCAAGTTGGAGAGAAAGCCAAAGAATGTAATCAATGTGGGAAAGCCTTCAGGTGCATCTAATCTTTTATTATGCTTGAGGAAATTCACACCAGAGGAGAAATCTTTAAAATATTGTAAATATGGAATTGCTTTATCAGTGTCTCATCTTTGAAGTGACTCCTAGCTCATAATTTCTACTTTATATTTTCTAATATAAGCCTTTATAATATAAATGTTGCTCCTGATGTCCTTGTAGCTATAGCATACAACTTCTGATATCTTATTTTCATTATGGTTCATTAATATGTATTGTATAATTTCCATTGTGAAGTCTCCTTAGACTTAAATAAAGTGTTTTTAGTATGTAAATGTATTTTAAATTAGTTTTGTTACAGTTTCTAATTAATTCCCATTCCCATATGCAACACATGTGGTCATTACAATATTGACTCTGGTACTTGTTGGGATAAGGTATTGATCTTTACTGTTGAGAGATCTGCAGCATTTTTGTAGCTAATGTAGTGTAAAAGCAGTTGCTTTGGTCAATAAGTAGTTGATGTAAGTAAAAAAATGTGCAAAGTTATAAAGTTATATATATATATATATATATATATTATAAAAAAGTTTCATTAGACTTGGTAATTTCACCTTTTGTGCTTTGCTCCTCCAAGTTGGACACAATACTTCAAGTTGAAGAGGGAGCCCTTGCAACCATGAGAGTGAAAGCTAGGGGGAATGATGATTGTGCTGGATTGTGTTAAATGAGACTTAGAACCACATTTTCCAGACTCTTCTCTGCTATGTGGTTGTAAGTTAGAATTGGACAAGAGTAACCTGCATGAAACTTGGAATGCAAAATGAAGAAGCCATTAACCTCAAAAGAATGTGGAGGTAGCAGATTGACAGATCTAGAACTATTCAGGAGTTCCAAACTTCAACCTTGACTTCCTAATTATTGGCTTTGTTGAACATCATCCCTAAACCAATCACTAGGCATGTAATTTCAATTCCCTCAGAGATGGCAGCTTCCACAAACACCTCCATGAGCTCACCCATCATGGTCCTACTTTGGCGGCTAGATGTGCACAACTGTTTGAATTTTCTACACAGTCAAACCCACCTATTCTCACTGCTGTTTCAGGATATCATGATTAGAGATTTTCTTCAAAACTCTGACTCCCTTTTCTCCACATTGTGAAAAGTGTAATTTCTATAGTGAGCACCTATAATACATAAACAAATATATATACAATATAAACAAATGAGTAACTTTGTTCCCCTTTTGCATTGTTAAGTGGCCACACTATCTCTGTACTGCCTGTTTCTGGACTCTTCCAAGAGAGAAATAAGCACCTTGCTAATCTGTGGGTCATGCTGTGAGAATTTTATGTCACTCAAAACTGAATAAAATCCTAAATGATAAACATAGTATGTGTTAAGTTAAAACAACCAATCAGTGTAATTCATCATATTAACAACATGAAGGAGAACATTTATGTGATCATCTTAATTCATAGGAAGTCTTTGAAAAATTCACAATGCACTTTGTGAAAATTTTCAACACTCTAGAAGATGGGAACATTCTCCATGTGGTAAAGAATATCTATAAAAATCCTATTACAAAAAAAAAAAGTCCTACTACTAATATCGTACTTATTGGTGAAATATTGAATGCTTCCCCATAATACTAGAGACAAGGCTTAAAAGTAATCACTGCCCTGTTCAACATATAAAGTAGGGTCTAGTCAATGTAAAAATGCAAGAAAAATAAATAAAAGACACAGGTACTTAAAATATTTGATTTTGGGGCACCTGGGTGGCTCGGTGGGTTAAAGCCTCTGCCTTTGGCTCAGGTCATGATCCCAGGGCCCTGGGATTGAGCCCCACATCAGGCTCTCTGCTCAGCAGGGAGCCTGCTCCCCGCCCCACTTCTGCCTGCCTCTCTGCCTACTCGTGATCTCTGTCAAATTAAAAAATTGTTTTTATTTACAGATAACATAATTTCATGTGTTGAAAATCCTAAAGAACCTAGAGTGGATTTAGCAGGGTTGAGGTTATAAGACTGATTTGTAAAAGTTAATTATATTTCCATATAACTGCAACAAATGGGGAAAAAAAGTTAAAAATTACCATTTGCAATAACATCAAGAAATAAATAGGAATAGATTTAACTAAATATGTGCAAGACTTCTACACTGAAAATTGTAAAACATTGCAAAGAGAAGTTGAGAAGATTTAAATAAATGAAGATTGGAAGACTCAGAATTATTAAGATGTCCACTACCACCAAATTGATCTCTATAGAGATGCAATCCCAATGAAATTCCAACCAATTTTTTCATAGAAATTGACAAGTGACAAGTAAACATATTTGCAAGACATCTTGTATAGCTGCCATAATCATGATGGTGAAGTATTGGAAAAGGAATATCAATAAACTAAAAATTGAATTGAGTGTAATACTAATTATTTGAGGAGAAAATCAACATTTTTTGTCAGTATCCCTATATACTCATGGTGCTTATGGACTATATTTAATCAAGTATGTATCTTTGGTCCATTTTTACTAATTATCACAATTTCACTGACAGGAAAACTCCTTAAACTGGCCTCTCTGGGATTTTGACCCAACTCATTATATTGAAAGGATCCTTGCTTTCTGGCCATAGCAAGAGATCACAAAGTTATTCTTTTTTATTGCTTATCCAGACATGTACTCAACTGTCCTTACAAAGAGCTCTGGTTTCTTTTCATTGAATAAAGGTGTTAGAGGACAAAATCTTGGGGTCCTGAAAAGTTGGAAGATTGAGTATAAGGAGCTCTGAGTTAGAGGCATGTTGATGGACATATAGGAGTGAAGATAAAGTGTGAAAATCTTTATGTGCTAAGTTAATGATCACTAAAGGGCATCCCACCAAGAAGAGTCACTAAACATTGAAATAGACAAAACTACATATCTGTTTAACTTTAGACAGCCTCTTTCATTAGCCAGGACACTGCTAGCATGATGAGCATAGGAAAAAAGAGGCCACAGTGGCAAAGATTGAAGTCTCTCTGCCTCACTGACCAAGGCTCATCCAGCTGCTTCCATAGCCAAATGTCTAACCTGCCAGTAACTGAGATAACACTAAACAATTTATATGGCAGGAATGGCTTCAGTTACCATTGCTTTCAACAACCCACTTGGGGAATTTGTGCTTCCCCTTTTCTGAAATCTGGGCTCTGCAGAGTTAGAAGCCCTTATCCCTAAAGGGAAAACATTCCGCCAGGGAACATAGCAAGATCCCCAATATAATATAGGCTAAAGCAGTAACCTCAGTCTTCTGGGTTCCAGCAGACAAGAAGAGAAATGATCCAGCTTGACTCTGATCATCAGGAGGAAATAGGGCTGCTATTATACCCTGGGGGCAAAGAAAATGTGTTTGGTACCCAGAGGACCTACTTGAGTGCTTCCTCGTACACATTTGCCCAATTACTTCAGAAATTGGGTATATGCAACAATCCCAGATGGGGAAGAGCATGATGACAAGGCTCAGATCTCTCAGGAAAAAAGTCTGGTTTACACCACCAGGTAAGTTGGTGACACAAGCAGACATTCTAGTGGAGGGTTAGAAGAAGCCTGAAGTGGGCAGCGTGGGAGGGGGATAATTACCAGTTTTAGCCCTGAGACCAGTTTTACTAGTAGGGGCTGTAGGTCATCCTATTAAACTTTCTCTTCCAAGTTTTCCCTAAGGAAGAGGCCCAGAAGAACCATGAAGGAGCTGCCTCCTAAATATATATGAAGAGGATCTGAGTGGCACAGCAGGTGGGTTGTAGGGACATGGAGATGCACCATCCAGGTTCTCTTCCAATGAAGGACTTGTTTCTGGGTGTGCCAGGAGAGTGATCAATGGCCATCCTTCAGCTGTCACACCAGTAACAGGGTGAGCCATGTCCAATTACTGATCAAGGTGGAAATATATAGACCTGCTATTTCAATCTAACACAGCATACCTCTACAGGGTCATTTTAACTCCAGACCTCCCCACTTCTCTGTCTGCTGAATCCTGCTTCCATCACCTCATTTCCACAGCTGTTAATCCCAAAGAACTCCTTAGCAAACACCTTATACTCTTAAGTCTCAATGTCTCCTTTCTAGAGATCCCAACTTAGTAACACAGCTCCCAGCTTGCTATTGGACCATAGTAGAGACTGAAGCCTGACTGTGGAATACCAAATGAACATGTGATCTGAGATACCTATAACTTACTAGATATTAGCTCATTCATTAAACCATAAAATTGGTATCATGTGTAACAGTTCTCCCATCTTCAAGTGGAAGTAATAATACAAGATCATCCATGACAAGGTCTAGAGAATATAAATACATTTCATGAATGGATGGTTTAGACTGTCAGGGCTCCTGCTGTTCCTGGATTTATAACCTCTCTTTCAACCTGCATCTATGGCCTCAGTGGGAGTTCCCTGGGATCAAATTACTGAAGATGGGAAATTTGAGCCTAACCTAGCAATATTTCCACACAGAAATCTGGCACAAGTCAGAAGAAGACTCCTAGATAATTGCATCCTGCAGGACTGGCCTAGAAAGGAAGGAAACTCCTGATGGGAAAGAACTTTGAATGGTACACCTGATTGTTCATTTTCCTGGAAAGAAGGATGGCCAGAGGTATAGATTTGCATTTGTATTAGTTTTCTAGGGGCTGCTATGCTGAAAGTACTATAAACAGGTTGGCTTAAATAATGGAAATTTATCATCTCACAGTTTTGGAAGTTAGAGGTCTAAAATCAAGCTGTTAGCAGAGTTGGTTTCTTATGAAGGCTGGGGGAGAGAATCTGTTCCAGGTCTCTTTCCTGGGATTGTAGGTAGCATTCTTCTCCCTGTGTCTCTTCACATAGTCTTCACTCCAGTGTGTGCCTGTGTCCAAATTTCACCTTTTCAGGAGGACATTAGGCATACTGGATTAGGGCCCATCCTAACGACCTCAGTTTAACTTGATTACCTTTGTATTCTGAGGTACTGCATGAAGCAGGGGAAGAAAAGGTGAGGTGATATGGCAAGAAAGTATACCAACAAATTCTGCACTCCCTCTTCCCCATACCCACCAGAGAAGCAAGAGAAATCAATCCAGTGGGGACACTCCTTTAGCCTTCCTCTTTTTGCGTGTGAGCAAGGACTCATGAAGGCATGTAAGCCAGGCCTTCCTGCTTTTATCTCCCCCTCTCTTAGCCAGCCAGTGTTTCAATTACCTGTTCCAATTTTCTATCAAAATACTGCTCTTAGGATGATATCTCTCTGCCCATTGTTAGACATTATGGGCTATAAACTGATTTTGTTGGTCTGAAGAAATGACAGTCAGCTGTCT